ACCGCAAGTCCAACAATAACAGATTCGACGTCTTCTAGCGAAACTACTTCTTCTGAGAGCTCAACCGCAAGTCCAACAATAACAGAATCGACAACTTCTAGTGAACTTACGTCGTCTAAGAGCTCAACTGGAAGCCCGACTACCACTGAATCGACATCTTCTAGCCAAGTCACTTCAAGTGAAATTACAATTTCACCGCCTATTTTTACTTGCCCTGGTGTTGGAAAGTATCCCGACCCTTTTGATTGCAACAAATATCACATGTGCATAAATGCCATTTTTGAAATTATTGACATACCCATGGTTTGCCTACCTGGAACACTCTATGATTCTTACAACAAACACTGTACTATAAATCCAGTCCAGTGTCCTAATGAAAAACAATTAGTTTGTGAGAAACCGGGTATATTTCCTCATCCAACTGACTGCAACAGGTTTTATAAGTGTATTTGGAGATTCCTTAATTTCCATTATGAATTGAAACAGTATAGATGTCCACCAGGACATGCTTTTGATGCGAAGAAAAAGATTTGTGTTCCGTCGAAAAAATGTCAACCTGACCACGGTTCTTTCAAATGTGTGCAAGTTGGCCGGTTTCCATTCGAAACAAATTGCAAGGCATATTATGAATGTAAAAACATTAATGGTGTGATTGTTAGAGAAATTAAGGCTTGTGACTTATTTAAAGTATTTGATAGGGAATTGAAGAGATGTCGTATCGAATGTCTTGTAACAAACTGTCCGTTCAATTAAATTTTTAATAAAGCAAAGTACATGATATATTTTTTTACTCTTGTTAATACACCCTAAGGCAGATCTGATCAAATGATCAAAGGCTTACGAAATAATTACAAGAAACTTTATTATTATTTTTTATTAATTTATTTATGTATAAAATTCACATTAAAATACATAATACGTAATTATAAAACAAGGACACTAAAGTTTACAATATTACAGAACGAACAAAATTAATAAAACATAAAATACTGAAAATATGGATCGAAATCCAGGACACATCTAAAGCTCCTCCACCTTACTGTATAAAATATGGCAACAATAATAAAATATAACAAAACTAAACTAAAAATCATTTTTATATGTTGAAAGACTTCCCAAAATTTTATCGAGTTTTATTTTTATACTCGCCATCTCTTCATATAATTTCTCTACACTGCTAACTGTGGGAAATTCTTCACGTTCTCTTCGTGCTTTAACAATATCATTAATCCTCTTGACAGTGTTCTTATCCAGATAAGTGTCAGAACAATTTCGTGCGCAAGCTACAAATGAATCTGGTCGTTGTTTAGCAGAGGAATTAAATTCACAAAATATTTTCCCGTAATTGTTAGGTAAAACAGTTAACTGGCAATTATGTGTAAAAAGACAAACTTTTCGAGCTAAAGGCTTAAAAAACGTGTACGTCGAACTGGAATCACAAGGAAAGCAACAGAACAGTCTTTGCACAGCATGAATGAAAGATGTTGGTAAAATATTTCCAAGTAACATACTTTCCACGTAATAAATGTGTTGAGCCCTTGAGATATGACCCACCAACTCTGCATCGTTTTTAATCGTTTGTGTGTCACTAACAGCTAAACCATTCAACAGATTGAGCAAAATAATAGTAATCATAAAGACAAAAAGTGAAAAAATGATCTTACTAGTGACCGGATAAGTATGGAAATTGATCGATCCGGCATCGAACTCCCCGGTCAACATAACAATCGTTTTAAAAAGAGACTTTCCGGGCCCCTTGAAAACATCATCTTCATCCCCCGTCTCAGTCCCGTTCCCACTTTGGGACACTTCTGTTCTCGAAAATAAAATGTAAAAACTCAAAGCAAACGCTATGATTAACAAAGAATACCACAAAAGCAATTTGAAAAAATTAACCGAAACCGTTTTCAACATTACAACATTGGTCGACAATTTGGGATGTTGGCCAACCATTAAAACCAACTCAAACGCAGCTAATAATATTGCCACTGATGCCAACTGTCTCCTCGTATCGCTAGTAGGTGAGTCAATGTATAAAATCATCCCAGTTATCACAATTAAAATAATTTCAACCAAATTTTCGAAATTCAGAAAATAATTCCTTGATGATACTGCGACTTGGAAAAGCTCACGCAAGACCAAAATCCAAAATGTTAAATTTAGCGTAACCCATGAGATTTTACCGAAGGTTAAACAACAATCCGATGTGTCGAAATTGGCATAATACGTAAAAATGTAAACAACTAGAGACAACACAAATAAAATATAAAACAACAGATTTGTGTAAAACAATAAGCGGATTTGGTGCCATTTCATAAACAAGAAACTTACAACAAGAGGGTGTTTGAGTAAAGCTCGAAATTCTGGAGCTTTACTCATGTAAGCAATGACTTCAGTTTCAGGTTCAACACTGTTTTGGGACAAAAATTCAGGATCAAACTCTTCAAATTTGGGCCTTTTGGGTTTCCTCGGGGGTAGGAGTGTGTGGTAGTCAAAAACGACTTCAAAATCGCATTTCTCGTCATTTTTGTTCTTGAGATTGAATTTGACACAGTCATCGAGGTGATTTTCGAGTAATTCCGGTTTGATGTCTTCGATTGGCATTATTCCGAAATGATTTTTACAAGCGAGAGAAGCCCCAAGTTGGAGTAATTTTTGTGTAGTTGTTGTGTCACAATACCGGAGCGAATAATGAAGAGGAGTGTTTTTTAACTCATCTACGTCGTTGATATCAATGAGAGATTTATTCGACTCCATTTTAGTTAACAACATTTTGCAACATTTTTCATAATCGATTTTATCAATTTTTGAACAGTCGGAATGTTTCAATAGGAAACAAAGGGTTTGTGTGGTTAATTCCACATCAGGGTGGTCTAATAACAACTGAAAAATTTCGTAATAACCGTTCTCTGCAACACTATCTATAGGTTTCTTTTGATTTTTTGTGACTAGATTGATGTTGGCCCCCCTGTCTAAGAGATATTTGACTATTTTTGTCAACCCCTTTTCGCAACTGTATTGCAGAAGTGTTAGCACACCGTCATCTAAATTAACAAAATCAGAGGGATTATTCAAAGATAGTGTATCAAAATAGGAAATAAATTCGTCTTCTTTTCCTTGTTTGATTAACCCGAAAATTTTGTCTTTCGGCACTTGATACAACATACGTTCCGGTAAAGGCCCTTCGTACAAGTTTTTTTCGATTATTAAATCCCTTGCAGTTTTATTACGCAAATTGCAAGTGTCCAAATCCACATGAAGCACACTTTTTTCAAGAATAACTTTTATGATTTTTTTGTAACCACGTTTGGCAGCCCAAAAAATAGCCGATAAATTCTTGCCATCACCTTGGTTAACATCGATTCCAGATCGCAAAAGAAGCTCCACATGTCGACAAAAATTTTCTTCGTTTTCCTGAATTTCTTCTCCTTTGATCAGGGTATGCAACGCGGTGTTTCCTTCCAATTTTTCGTTGATTTGGCCAGGTTTGAGGTATTTGATGATAACTTCTAATATCGAGATGTTGGGATTTTCGGCTGCTAAGTGTAGAGGTTTCCATTCTGCAGTGCCCTGGACGTCTGCTCCTAGATTAATCAAAGTTTCGACGGTGATTGGAGCAACATCAGGTTCTGAACAAGCTACTGGTAGGATGGTTTTGGACGTGTAAGGGTATTGGTGATGCAAAAGGGTCGCGTTTGCCTTTATTATGGTTGTGATAGTTTCTAAATCGTTCTTCTTGACGCTTTCTAGAAGAACAGTTTCAGGTGGTGGACAAATACTGTTGGTCCGCATCAAATCCATTTTCTTGTTTGTGCCACTCATGTTTCATCTGAAAAAAATGAGTTAACCACAGTAAGAAATTATCAGTCGAAGACACTAACCAAAAAATTGTTAGCTTATGGGCTCCCACATAGGAATTATTAGTTATTCAAAATGTTACACATATAAATTTTACTTTACGCTTCGTAATCATTCCATAATGTTCGGAGTATCTAATCAATAACAGAAACATTTATCATTTATTGACGAATACGATATTAATGTTACTCTTAAGTTATAAATTATTTATACAACTGTCCAGCGTTTGCGTGCTTATATTGCTAACCCCATATTACTGTTACATTGCCACTTAAATAAAAGTACTTTGTTTCGCTTAGTGTTTGTATTTATCTTCAAAACAAATAAATCGATTGGATTACTGTAATAATAAATGTCTCACAACGCAATGGTCTAAATTAGATATCGATTCGTGATGTCTTCAGAATAATAGGGATTTTAAATGAGTACACTTCTCATAAAAGTATTGACTTCACAGTTGCTCCATAACTATTTGAAATAATGTTAAATATCAACTTTTTATGGAATCCAACACAAATTAAGTAACATATCATTCGAAAAGAAAGTTATTAACCGTACTAGAAAATATGTATGCTTTTTTTAGAAAAATCATTTTTTACTGTATTAGGCTCAAAAGAAAGAAAGCAGCCCTCGTATATGTAATAAAAAAAGAGAATTAATAAATCTACTCATATGTTTATATTATACACGATAAAAACGGCAAACAGCGAATTATATGCAAATATTAATATCTGAGTAGGTGTGTGCAGAATATTTCGATTATTGAAAATATAAAAATAAAACAAAAATAAAAAAATGAGAAAAAATCTTGAACAGTATGAGTCTGGGCCATCCATAAAAAATCTGAACGCGTTTTCTTCTCGCAAAAAAGTACATATTTTGTAAAAATAAAACTCTTTTTATAGTTTCTAAAATAATAAACAGTTCTTCTTGACCTTTGAAGTTTTCTTAGCGAGAGTAGAAAGGATTAAAGATTATTATTTAATCCGCAATTGTCATCCGCCGAAAACTTTAATTTTAAATTAAACTAATTAGAATTAAGTTGAATTTTATTTTGCAATAAATATACAGGGTGTTTCGTTTTTATTGTTACAAACTTAAATGGATGAATATTCAATTTTAAGACAAAAGTTTCCTATATGTGAACATATTTCAAAAAATGCTGTGAAACTACACCCCTTAAAAAGGATGCATTTTTTAAAGGGTTTTTCCCAATAATTCAGAATAGACAAAATTACAAAATTTGGTACAGCTAAACGAATTCCAAGATGAAATGTCGAAATTTTTAATCAGGGGCGTCCTAAACGGTAAAACAAATTTCATTTTTAATTTTATTGGACCTTTTTTATGAAAAACTATGAAATTTAGAATGTTGTTGCTAAAAGTGGCTGGAAACTACAGCCAAAGTAGAGTACTTTTTACCCTAAACCCACCCATTTTAGAAAGCCCCTGATTAAAAATTTCAACATTTTATCTTTGAATTTGTTTAGGTGTATAAAAGTTATCATGTGTAATTTTATCTAAAATTGTTTCGGAAATATTGAGAAAAACCCATTAAAAGACGCACCCCTTTGAGGGGGTGTAGCTCCCTTGCGTATCGTTTTACATGTTCATAGGAAATTTTTGTGTTAAAATTAAATATTCTGTCTCCTGTGTAAATTTGTAACAATAAAAACGGAACACCTGTATACTTAAAAAAAGTCTTATTTACTCGAAAAAAAATATTGTTTCATTTAATAAAAATTAATATCTTTTTTGCACTAAAAATTAGCAAAATGGCTAAAAGAAAATGGAAAAATCACCTCTTCGACTCATGACATGTTGGAAAAGAAAATAATTATTTAATATAATTTTAAAATTTGGAACATTCACGTTATAAAAAAAAAACAGAAATTTGATAAAAAAAAAAAGTAAATACGATTCTGTAATAAAAAAACAGCCTTTACAAGATGTCTGGAAAATACACTAAATAATTTCGGGGTGAGGGAGGTGATTTTTTAGGCCAATATAGAAAAAAGATTAGATCTACAGTTTTATGACACTTTAATTTTTATTAATTATTATTTTCTGAAGACAAATACTTTTTATTCACTTTGTATGTCCGAAAATGCTTTCTAAGAAAACTAGAACTTATTAAAATAACTTATTGAGGTGCTTTTCGGAATTATGGTTTGTCCACGATTTAAAAATCCTTGTTTTTCTCTAAGATGGTGTGTCGTACAAAAGTGGGGACTTTATTTAAAGAAAGTTAATTAGCAAATCCGCATCTGCAAAAAATATACATATTATCAACTTTTTTTATACACTCCTAAAAATACCTATTTTACTGACTCATTTAAGTACCTACCTAAAATAAGTTTTTTTTTATTAAGCTCAATAACAGTTATTTAGTTATTTAAAGTACTTATTAACTTAAATAAATAAATAAAAATAAATAAATAAGATTAAAATAACCAACTATTTTAAATACTTATATTTTCTATTTTAACCACTATTTTCGAGAAATAAATCAATAATCATACATAATCAGAGGTTTGAATGTGTTTTTGGAAGCTTTAACTACAAATGTTAAATATTAAAATATGTACATATTTGAATAACAAAAAAATGGAACTAAATAAGTACCTATTTATTATTTTTACATATAATTACTTAAGAAGCGCGTAACTTAAATTTTGAAGAAATTTTACGTATGACACACTTAGACAAATGTGTAGAGGAATGAACTTAAAACATGAAACATACTATTGTTTATGTTTTTTAATGATTCGCACTACCTAATACGTTTCACGGATGTATTTGTTCGTAAGGCCCCCAAATAAAGAATATTTGAATAAAGTACTTAAACGTGTGCAGATTTTATAGTTAAGAACGAGACATAACAATAATTAATAGAAAATTTCTCAGCTCTACTTTTTTTCTTAGATGTTTGATCCACCATTAAAATCCATTTTTGAGTAAATCACAAAAAAAGAGTGTCACAAATCGTGGCCCAGAGAAAAAAAAAAGTAAGATAAGGTACCAAGAACATGGAAAAAATGTTTAAACAATTCTATCTGTCAAAAAATTTAACATTTGACATTTTTTTTATTTAATAATACTGATAATCTTGTATACAGGCTGTCCCAACGGTCTGAAAACGCTCTATAACTTGTTTATTTTAAGAGATATTGACTTTTTCTTTTTTTTAGATTATAGCTGCGTTTCTGCTGCACATTTTAAAAATATTGCGGTTTATATACAGGGTGTCCCAATATTAAAAAAACACTAAAGTTGTGTTTTTTTTAATGGAATCTACTCAGTTTGATTTTATTTTTGGATTTTACGCTAAATTACAAATAACTTTTATAGAGGTTGTTTTCATTTATCTGTTATCAATTTTGATTTGTGGCGCTTTTTTACCAGAATTTTTGAAATGCAGGGGTCTGTCTAAAAATTCGTAACTTCTAAATGCTTGCACACAACTTAAATTAAGTAACGCCGTTTGATTCCTGAAGGTTTACTCAACAACCTGCTCAGTAGCATGTGCCTACTGCGATTTTTTAAACATGACAAATTAAAAATGTCAAAAACTAATTTTTTTCAAATGGCACCTTCTATTTATTATTGTACCAGATCTTTTGACAAGCTTTCCATCAATATAAGGTTTGTATAGTTTAGTGTAAAATTCTAAGTTGCTATCCTAAATTAACTAAATTTCGAAAAACTTTTCTGTTTTGGACAATAAAAATCGAGTGGGCTTCTGTCATTGTTGCAATCTGTCAATTTTATTGTGAAGATTATAAGTCCCAAAATAAATTTTACTCGTCAAGAACTCATTAACATGGTATACAGTCTTGGTGAAGCGGATCGTAATATTTTATTGGCTCAAAGGGTCTACAAATAAAAATACCCAAATGCAAGACTGCCGCTGGATTTAAAAAATTCTATAAAAATGTGTATAAAGTGAGACCAACAACTACGGAGGATATGAAACAAAGAAGACGCGATACATTCCATTTAATAAATGCAGATATGCTAAGTCGTGTTAGACTATCTTTTAGACGACGACTACTACTAATATTTTTGAGCATCTGTTATAAAGAAAATTGTAAAATAGCTTTAATGTTTTGTTTTTTTTAATTTTTAATGTTTTTACATTTTTCTACTAAACTGTGCGATATGTTAGATTTTGCCTAATTTTCTCTGTAACTCAATTGTGCACAATATTGTACATTTTCTTGCAGCAAAGAATTTCCAATTCCATACTTTTGTTTATTTTCTGTCCTAATTTTTTTTGTGCATAAGGCCCACTCTATTTTTATTGTTCAAAACAGAAAAGTTTTTCGAAATTTAGTTAATTTAGGATAGTAACTTAGAATTTAACACTAGACTATACAAACCTTATATTGATGGAAAGCTTGTCAAAAGATCTTTTGATTGGTACAATAATAAATTGTAAGTGCCATTTGAAAAAAATGAGTTTTTGACATTTTTAATTTGTCATGTTTAAAAAATCGCAGTAGGCACATGCGACTGAGCAGGTTGTTCAGTAAACGTTCAGGAATCAAACGGCGTTACTTAATTTAAGTTGTGTGCAAGCATTTAGAAGTTACGAATTTTTAGACAGACCCCTGCATTTCAAAAATTCTGGTAAAAAAGCGCCACAAATCAAAATTGATAACAGATAAATGATAACAACCTCTATAAAAGTTATTTGTAATTTAGCGTAGAATCCAAAAATAAAATCAAACTGAGTAGATTCCATTTAAAAAAACATAACTTTAGTGTTTTTTTTATATTGGGACAGCCTGTATATAAACCGCAATATTTTTAAAATGTGCAGCAGAAACCCAACTATAATCTAAAAAAAAAGAAGTTTGTATCTCCTAACATAAACAAGTTACAGAGCTTTTTCGGACCGTTGGGACAGCCTGTATGTTTTTTTATAATTATTTGTTTATTAAAATTTGAACTTATGAATAAACAGTGTTGCTACAAATGCAGATTTTTCAAAATAAGAAGTGCACCGATATAATAAAAACGAAATAAATAATATGTCCTTTAATTATATTTTTGTAGGTAGATAATTACCCCCTTTGGGTTGAATTTTCAAAATGTGTCAACTATTTTGGAACATCATAGAAAGTTTACTTTAATTATGCAATTAACAATGGTCAATTTTGGAGAAAACTAAGAATTAGAAAAGCATCTACACTATTACGACACAAAAAAAACGATTTATATTATAACAATTTTGTTGATACACATGGAAGAAACCCTATTTTGTGAATGTTATAGTTAAAATCTATGCAAAATATCATTTTTTGCCACAGTAAGGAAAAAGGCGTTATTTATTTAAATGACAGCACAGACTTTTCACGTCATTGAGCGTATATGGCCAATGGCAACATTGCATCAATCGACAACTTTCGTTAATTTTGGTCAAAAAACCGGAAGTGATGAAATCGACAATAATATGATCTACCTACGTGTCAAGAGGCGGTGGTCTCTGGACCGGATCTCTAAATGAACCACTTGTTTTATTAGATCAGCACAATAATGAGTACAGTTCGTTCTAAAAACATGCAACAAAATGATAGCACACCCAAGATAAAATTTGATAATTCGATGGCTATTCCCCGTAATCAATTAGGGAATGGTGGTGAAGCACTCATTTCTCCGCCAAATTTGAACACACGATCGCTCACAGCACAGCTAAAGTCACTTTTTTCTTCATGAAAACCACCTGATTTACGTTTTAAAATCACATTTCAAAACATTTTCCGCAGTTGTCACACTACAAAACCTTCGCAACAAGTGAGAAGTGAACAGTCCGAACAGCAGTCGATTTTTACGAAGTTCTCCATACTTGGATTGTATGGTGGGACGCGATGCGATGGCTGTTGTAATAATTATAATAATAATAATTAATAATACAGCAGAATAATGCACACAGGATCTTAAACTTATCCGACCAAATTGAAATTAAATATAATTACGTAGCTCTCATTTGGTATAAATTTCAACCCTTAAAAGTTAAAAACACTTCTCGATTTTAACTTTAAAGATTAGGACCTGTGTCGGGGTAAAGAGCTTTTTTGTTGTTTTTTTCTTAAATTTGCCATGGGAGCAACGTGACAATATTAATGAAATTTATAAAAAAAATATTTTTGAATAACTTTCTTATTACGTTTATGTTGTGAAACACTTCATGTGGTAGACGCACATTTTTAATTACATAGGTACTTAAAATTATCGAAATTTTATATACAAACATAAATTTTAGGTATACCGTGAGCTTTTTATACAGAGTGCGCCAGAACTCGCGCCCCAGAAAAAAATGCCATGTAAGGTAAGATACCAGGAACATGGAAAAATGTTTAAAAAATTCTATCTATAACAATTTCGAAGTTAAGAAAGTTTAAATTTTGCACTTTGATTCTGTTTATTTCTGTTGGAAAAATAATTTTCCAAGTTTTTTTGCTATAGACTACTAGAAGAGGAAACAAGGAAGCTGTATCCTAAATTGTAACTTTGTTTAATGTTATTTGTTGCTTTTATTGGCAAAATTTTTGTATCTTTACTAAATAATTATAAAAAAAACATATACAAGATCATCAGTATTATTAAATAGACATAAAAAATGTCAAATGTCAAAAAATAAATGTCAAATCAAATCTCAGATTTTTTTAAACATTTTTTCCATGTTTCTGGTATCTTATCTTACTTGAAATTTTTCTCTGGGCCGTGAATTCTGACACATCCTGTATTGCTGAACATAGCTCTATTTTCAATTAAAATTTTTTTTTAAATCAATCTATTGGTGTCATTTTCGATTATAAATAGTCTAAGTAGCGTGTCTATAAATTAAGAGTAACGAAAAACGAAATAAAAAAGTTACTTATTTTTAGGCCATTAAATACTTCACAGTAAGAAATAAAATTATATCAATTTTTTTTCTGAAAACAATAATGATTTAAAAAACTGATGTTTTTGCTTTTCCTCATATTTTTACTCTTTTTGAAAACGCTGCGAATACGATTAAAAACAGTAAAGTAGTGTAAAGGACAAAGTTGTAGAGAATTAAGGTTGAACTATACTGAATAAAAAAACAAATCGTACTTCAAAACTTATGAAAAAATTGTCATAACTTTTTGAAGGCCTTAACAGCACTATATACAGGTTGTTCCGTTTTTTTTGTTACAAATTTAAACAGATGATAGAATATTTAATTTTAATACAAAAGTTTCCTCTAAACAGGCTTCGAAAAATGCTATGTAAGGAGCTGCACGCTCTAAAAGGGGTGCGTTTTTTAAAGAGTTTTTTCTAATACATATTTCAAAATAGAATAGAAAAATCAGATAATTTGGTACACCTAAACAAATTCCAAGATGAAATGTTAAAATTTTTAATTAGGATCTAGAAGTTTCAACTGGTGGGGGAGGGGGGTTTGGTTAGTGATCAAATAAAAAACTTTTAATATAAACAATTAAATATAATAATAATAAAAAATAAATAAATAAATTTATAAACTTCTTTAATAAAACAACAAAACTAAAAAAATATTCAAAAACAACAAATAAATGATAACTATCAGAATGGGCGGTTGACCAAACAAGGTGTCAAAGAGGTTGGTTTCGGACATATTGGAAAAACCCATTAACAATAAAAACGGAACATCATATATATTAATTTGAAATTTTTTGTCCTTGTCGTTTAAAAATGATTAAAAAAAACTCTATTTTTTGGACATTTTATTTTTTATAAAAAAACTGTACGGAAAAAGTTTGTTATTTATTTTTGGCGTATTCCAGATTACCTACTTATATAACTGTATTTTTTTATACAATTTGAATTAGGTATACGTTTTTTTATAAAAAAATAAACACTATTGAATTTTGCAATCCGTTAAAATGAGATAAAAACTATGTGTTACTGTATATGTGAGGTACTAATTTAATTCAGGAACAACATCCAATTGTAAAAAAAAACAAATTGTTTACTGTTTTTGTTAAAAAAAAATTTTTTTTTTCTTTGAACAGCTTCGAGCGACAAATTCTTCCGATGGTACATTTTGAAACTGACTAGAGACTTGCCATCTACGGGATGATAGAGTAAATAGTTTTTGAAAACTGTAATTTTGTAGTTTTATGTAAAAATACTAAAAATGCAAAAATCTCAAAATACAAAGAATAGTAATTTATCAATTATGTACTATATTTTTCTATTTCAATTCAATATAATTATTATTGTGGCGTCATTATCTATTTATCTTTCTTTTTTAGCCATCGAAATTAAAAGAAATAAAACAAAATTATATACCTATTTGAAAATTGACAAAAATGTTCACTCCAAGAACCAGTTTTTTTCAATTTATTTTCGCAATTTCAGATCGACATTGTCAAAAATTACAGGCGGACACGGAATTTTTTGCCATTCGACTTACATAAAAATGTAAAACGGGCCTTAGGCAACTAACCCACTTTCGGTTTTTGTATTTTTTATCCCGATAGCTAGAAAAAAAAATGACAACAAATCAAAATAATTTATTGAACTTATATAAAAACACGTATTGCTGGTATTAATGTTTCGGAAAATCGACGTTTCAAGTTTTAGTTTCAAATGTCAATCATAATGACAATAAAGCCTAGCTTACATTGACATTTTTGAACTGACATAGGTTTGATGTCCAAAATTTCGTGTCTGCCACTGTGGGTACTTAGATTCCTGATTTCATTTTCGATTACCAAAAATCAATATGTGCTTAGTAAATTGTATTTAGGGTTGCATTTTTTCTTTCTCCGGCTCGTCATCTTACGTGAATAACCCTGTACACAAACATTTTTTAAATGTATGTTATGTAATAGGCAACCAGTAAAATACCCATGCAGTTTGTGTAGCATAAAATTCTAAAAACAGCGCGAAACAAGTTGTCAACAAATCCTAACCTCTGTTTTACATTTGTGTCATCGAGTTTATTTTTGCGTTTTTGCGGTTTAACCTTGGGGTTTTGTTTGTAAATTAAGTTGATTTTAATCTCATACAGAAATTAATAAGCTCTATGTCTGACGTTACTTCTTCGTTAGAAAAATACAAAAATGATCCTAGAACACCCTGCAGGTATGGGGACAAGTGTTACCAAAAAAATGCCGAACACCGAAGTAAATATAAACACCCTCCTAAAAAAAATAAACGCAAGGTAAATATTAATACTCACAAGTTGTTATATTACCGCTAATTTTTATAAGGATCACTCTCAAAAACATCCCCCAAAAAAGATTAAATTAGACGACGATAGTGGTCCAAGTGCTGCTAATTTCTCACAGAATAACACTGAAGATAATTCTGCAAAATTAGAACAAGCGAAGAAAAAAGAGTGTATTTCTCCAAGTGGGTCAGAAGAAGAAGATAATGATGATGGTAAAATAGACCAAAAAGTGTCTACTTTAGAAAACTCAAGTAATATCACTGAAGGCAGTTCAATAGAATTAGGGCCAGTGAAGAAAAAAGAGTGTATTTCTTCAAGCGGGTCAGAAGCTGAAGATGATAGTAAAGTAGAACAAAAATCTACTCCAGAAAACACAAATGAAATAAAACAAATTGATGACAATAGTGAAACGGATAAAAATACACCTTTTGATCCTAAAGCATTTATCAAGTCCAGATTTTTAGTAGATCTCCCTAACGATTTTTATGAATTTTGGGAGTTGTGCAAGAAATTAAAACCAAATGACCCAAGTAATGCTTTAAAAAGCGTCAATTTAGAATTAGTTGGGCCTTTTGATGTTCTTGCTGGTAAATTTAAACATGTTAGAAAACCATCAGAGGATTATTTAAGACATTGGCGATATTATTATGATACTCCAGAACTACTAACTGTACTTCGAGGAGATAACTCAAGTGGTTACCACATTGGTTACTTTTATGATTCTCCAAATGAACTACCCCAATTGCTGGTTAGTAATCATGGTACCAAAGATGGTATTTTCACAAAAATGGGTGACAACATTTTTGCGGCCGTTTGGTAAAGTTTCAATTTTGTATCATTTTCTAACTTTAGACTTGAAATAGTTTGTATTTAGGGGAGTTAAAACAGATCGGTGATCCTTTTAAAAAAATGCATGTCGGAAAATTTCTACCACTCATTAAAGCCAAGGCTGAAGAATTAAAACTGAGTACTACTTTACACAGTGAGAAAATCAAGAAGAGAGAAAATAAAGTTGTAGCTAAAACATTCAACAAAATTGGACTTGTTGTTCCATATAATAAGAAGTAAGTTGTTTGATTTATTTTGTTTTTGTTAATTAACTGATTTCTAGGACCCAATTGGGGTACCGCGACTTGGCAATGGGGGATAAAGATTTAATGATTCTTTTGAACAAATTAGATAAAGCTTCTCCTGAACAAAAAGCGAAATTTTTGTCTGATTTGCAACCAGTTTTAACGTACGCGAATATAGCTTTAGATGAATGCGATTTTGGTACAGGTGTTAAACTTGGTTGGGAATTGTTGTTTCACGGGATTGATAGTTTAAATTCGACAATTGCGCAGTTTCTTTCAAATTCATACAAATTATTAAATAAAGAAGCTTTTGCCAAAATCGCTGAAACTCATATGAGCAACAGGAAAAAAGGGTGTAATTTAAGTATTTTGTAGAATTCTCATTGTAGTTTAATTAACTTATTCTCAAATAAAATTTCTTACTTAATGTATCATTTATTACTTTACCCAAAATTGGAATGTATGATAAGAATAGATTCTTTGTCTTTTTTTTCGCTTTTTCCCTGAAGCCACTTGTAGGCAAAACAAAGCTGACATTGTGAGTTAATAAAGCTCAAGTTTGTGCTTTATCACGACAGGGAACGTAGGTGCGTTTAATATTTGCTGTGGTTCGATTATAGACGCTTGCGCCGTGACGCTATAGAAATTCAGTAGTGGCTGTCATGTCGAAATAAATGAACATGCTTTTAAAAGCTTTTATAAAAACCAACTAATGGACAATAAATCTTAAGTGTATCATCCGAATTAACAATGTGAACTTACAGAGTAACAAATGAAACAAAAATGTCGCACAACCTAACTCGTTAATCATTTACAAAATTTCTTATTTTTGTAAAATATAAAATTAGACTGTTTTAAATTATATGCTTAATTATCGATGATGAGCAAATAATGTTAGTGATTTACGTCTCGCTCGTGTTTTCCTTCGCGATTCCTAAAAATAGCTCAAGCCAGCTTGAGAGGATAAATGTGTTCAAGATCGGGGAGATTTTCAGCTTTTTTTGAGACATAAGTTTTAAGTTAGATTCGGACACGAAGAGTGGTTTTTGGTGACTTTTTATGGAATGTTGTGGACATAGTGCAAAACTTTAATTGGGTTGTTTTTCATGTTTTTATTATGATAGGTAAGTTACTTCACTGTAGTGTTTTTCTTTTATCAGATGTATCAGTTATGCTTTTATTTCGTGATTTCAATTATTTTTATATTCAGGTAATATAACGTGACCTAGGGCGGCTTTTACATTCGTTGAATAAACTCCGGATTTGTGGTCGTTATAATTGCTATAGTTACATTTGTTGTAACAATGCAAATATCAAAATTTATCGTTACAATTTTATTCGACGATTGTAAAAACCGCCCCTAATTAGTTATACATACAGGGTGAATATAAAGTATGGAACCAAGCGGTTTTTTTTAATCATTTGCCTCCACAAAATAATAATTTATATAAATGATAGTAATATTAAAAATGTGATAGTATTTTGAGTACGAAATTTTATTTTGTTTTTGAATTATGCGATTTTTTTTTGTCAAAATTGCAATTTATGTAAAAAAAATTTTGGAAAAATTAATTATAAAGTAGATAGTTGTAATCCTTAGATCATAACTTTCATGAGAAAAATGGTTTTATAGTGGGTTGTCATTTGAAAAATTTTTTTTTGTAGAACTCAAAAACAAAAGAAAATTTCGAAAAATTTTATTCTTGATAAAACATCACATTTTTATAGCACTTTCTCATTCATCAATTAGTTTTTCCAAAAAATAAATAGTTTAAGCGAAAAACGTTTGGTTCCATACTTTTTATTCACCTGGTATGAATTTTGACACCAAAAACAAAGTTAGTGTTTTTAATTTAATAAAAAAACAAAGTCGTAGTTCGTAGTTTCTTAAATACTAAATGATCAGATTGATAAGTTGCGGGCGTTGAAAATTAAGACACTTTGACAAATCCAAAATTTTGTCGTAAAATGTCTTGAAACTGAAGTTTCTCAAATGCGTTTCAAAGATAAAAAATTAAGAAGTTTTCAAAATTCAATTTCAATTTCAAAATGTTGATTTTGCATCTAAGAGATTTAAAAGTAGGTATGTTTTAAATAGGCAATTTAACAATCTAGTAAAAAACAGGGTGTTCCAATTAAATTTTACAAATGCAATTAAAAACTGTTGTACGTACACTTTAAAGTTTCTACTTTCTTCTTTGCAGTAGTAAAATTTTTTTCAATGTCTTAATTTTTGTGTAATAAATTGGACGAGTATATTTTCATAAGAAAAACAATTTTTTAAAAACTGAACAAAATCGATCAATAAAAGGCTAGCTGTTGAAGACATATTGTACTAAAAAGTTTCAGGCAAAAATGCCAAGAACATGTTTTTTTTGTTAATAAAACATTATTTTATTTTTGAGACACGTTGTATAGTTGAAAATAATTTTAGGCGCGAGTTTTGAGACACCTGTATATATACATATACATACCAGGTGAATAAAAAGTATGGAACCAAACATTTTTTGCTTAAACTATTTATTTTTTGAAAAAACTAATTGATGAGTGCTAAAGTACTATAAAAATGTGATGATTTAACAAGAATAAAATTTTTCGAAATTTCCTTTTATTTTCGAGTTCTACAAAAAAATGTTTTTTTTAAATGGCAACCCACTATAAAATCATTTTTTTCATAAAAGCTATACTCTAAGGATTACAACTATCTGCTTTATTTTTAATTTTTTCAAAAAAATTTTTTGACAAAAAAAAATCGCATAACTCAAAAACAAAACAAAATTTCGTTCTGAAATTACGATCACATTTTTTATATTACTTTAATTTATATTAATTATTATTTTCCGGAGGCAAATGATTAAAAATAAAACCGCTTGGTTCCATACTTTATATTCACCCTGTATAGTAATTGGGTAGTCCCCCTGAGTACTGAAAAAATGTTTAAAAAATTCTGAGATTTGATTTGACATTTATTTTTTGACATTTGACATTTTTTATGTCTATTTAATAATACTGATGATCTTGTAAATGTTTTTTTTATAATTATTTAGTAAAGGTACAAAAATGTTGCCAATAAAAGCCACAAATAACACTAACAATTCAGAATACAGCTTCTTTATTTCCTCTTCTAATTACCTGTAGGAAAAAAAACTGGAAAATTATTTTTTCAACAGATATAAATAGAGTCAAAGTGCAATTTTAAACATGTTTCTTGTTGTCTAGCGTATCATTAATAGGGTAAATAATTAACTTTAGGTATATTGACTCTTTAATTTTTGTAAAAGGGTACTCTCTCTCCGATTTCCCTTTTATGTATTTTCTTATAAGGGGCGCATTATTTTTGGTAGTTCAAAGGCGCCAAATATCTTAGGACGGCCCTGCATTTAAACATACGTTTTAGCACCTACGTAATTTTAAGTTTGAAGAATTTTGATCTATTAATATTATTAGAGATTTTGACCAAGAAAGTCTTGTTAATTGGGACACCCTGTAATTTTGAATTTTTAGGTATTATCTTTTTGAAAGTTATCGTTTTGCAATGAATTATAAAGATTTTTTAAATAAATTTTGTTTTATAGCTTGTACAAGATTTGTTTAAGTTTTATTTTTAGAATATTCTGTGGAATCTATTTTTGCAGTTTATTTTGCTAATCGAATGTTTGGAATGTTAGACATCTTTATAAAAGGTATGATTCAGTTGCCCAAATGGAATAATTGTGTAGCTACTTTTTTCCAGAATTTATCAATTAAAAAATATTGTTTAAAGAACAATTACAAAAATTACTTTCTAAATTAGAAATTAAAGTCGAGCAATGTGTTCAACTGAAAACCTGTTTTACTCCTTATACAGGGTGTCCCAATGTAAACGAGCCACCCTGAATATCTCAGAAACTACAAAGACTTTGCAAAAACGCAAAAATAGGTCAATTTTTTTGACTTAATTTTTAAATTACCCCCAGTAACACTCACGCACCCCAACTTTAAAAATGTAAATAGCACTACCCTACTTGTGGCACATGAAATGAAAGCTATTTTAACAAGCTTTTCAAAACTTTTTACTAAAATTGAATCAGACCATCCATTCGTGAGATACAGGGTGTCCTAATAAAAACGAACCAAAAAGAATTTGCAAAAAAACGAAACAGGTTAATTTTGTTTTTAAAAAAGACATTTTTTGACACTGACCCTTTAAGTTTTCCCACTTCAATTTTGGAATTTCAAATGACACCAACTCACTTGCGACAGATCAAATCAACGTGTTTTTAAAATGTTCTTTGAAACTCCTTTCTAAAGTTGAATGTGATTATCTATTCATAAGATATTCGCAAAAGATAATGTTTCTAATTAGTAATTACTTCTAATAAATTGAAATTTACATCAAAAAATGTCCCCCTCGGAAACAAAATCCAACATATTGTTTTTAATTTAAAGAGTTTATAAATCTTCAGCAAGATCAGTTAGTTTTTTTCGATGAAGTCGGTAAATACATATTTTTTGATTTCACGCTAGATTAAGGGAAAAACATTGAGTCTAATTCAATAGAATTGATGAAATCCTGCTGAACTCAAATTTAATTTCTTTCCTGGTTTGTCAAAATGATCAATATCCAATACGATATCTGGGGAAAGCTCATTAATTTCCATCAAGAAGTGTATATGGCAGGAATTAATTTCTCGAAGTATCATTTATTTTTCGCTTATATCTTAATACCTCTGTGGTCGGGTAGTTGCTCTTCTCTTATATCCACATTTTTACCCCCACATAAATTATTCCACCGCACATGTAGGTTGCAACAATGAATTATGAAGTCAGGCAATTTTTTCGCGTATAAAGTATTGATATAAATCAAGACATAACTTATGAATTTCCGCCTCGGGGGCAAAAGCATTGTAAAGCCGATGTGAAAAATTCTAGTTTTATGGAGTTCCCAGAAGAGTCGTTGTGCCAACAAGGTCTCTAATCTATTCACTTTACATTTTTTCAGCTTATATTAAACAAACATTTTTATTTTTCATTCTAATTAAATTTTTATGTAAATTTAATCACTTCAATTTCAACGACTTTTTTCCCAGTCATAATTTTTAACACCTGACAGCGTTTTAATTAAACGTGGACTTGATTTTCATCCTTCAGGGAAAATCACTATTTTATTAAGTGGAACTTTTCCTGTTTTAGGAACTTCTAAACTTGTTAAAATGTCTCGTGAAATTTTCAATTTGTTAAATTTATTCATTCTGAAACTTGTAGATAAGTTTGATCCGCAAGGTAGAAATTGATTTTACAAAAATTGCACAGATTTGTCAACAAGAAATTACCACAACAATAGTACTAAAAAAGGGGCGTTTTTGGCACTAAATTTGTCACTGGAATCCAGTGTAACACAGAATTCTTTTTCTTTTAAATTTGTGACATAATTGACTCTAAAAAATGTAAATGTAACGTTGCTTTTTTTAATAGGTTTAAAATGAAATTTAGAACTAAATTAAAAAAAAAGTCATGTAACAAATAAAAAGATTTTATCCACAATCACTCTATAAAGAGACTTTATTCCACACTTTAAATGCGTATAAAGTACCACTTTATTCACTAGTGAAATAAAGTAACTAGTAGTAACAGCTTACTACGTTTAACCGGAACCAAATTTGGCGTGACGTTTAAATGTCAGTTCAATTTTTAATTAAGTTTGGAATAATTTGTGCCTGTGATTGTAGATAAAACGTTATATTGCAGTCTGTGTTAGTGTTTTAGTCGCGTTTTATCCACTTAACAAAAACATTCTTGCGTGGATAAAACGCTATCTAACACACTCTTACAATAAATAACTATAAAACAATCACATTAAAACACAAAACTCTGTAAAATAGTGCTTCGTACAAACAGGCAATCAAGAGCTCATAAAAAAGATATTTTGTCACACGATGTGCAATGTCGTCACTGAATCGTTTAATTTTGTTAAAAAAAAAAATATTTGGAAAAACATTACTACTCTTAAATATATTACAATTGTAATCATTAATAAAAAACGAGAAAATTATGTGTTGCTTGCGATAGGCAACTTTTAATACAACAGAGAAAACATTGCCTACTTCCTTGCCATGGAATCTTACCCCTTCCATATATTCTAGTTGTTTGTTGTCACCACAAACCAACCTAACCAAATTTATGGCAACCTATTCACGAATATCCCTAAATCCTAGGGAGTAATTTCTTGTTGATGCTGTAATACCGTGCGATCAAAAAAAAAAAAATAAATAAATTAGAGTAGGCGGTGATTAAAGTCTTTCAGATGGCAATCCTGATTTTTGACATCAAATGTCAGCGGAAACTTTGACAATTTTGCGTTTTATTCATTTTGAATGAAATAATGTTTACTTTAAAGCAGAAAATTTTTATTGTTGCAAGTTATTACAAAAATGCTGTACAAGACGAAAACGTTGAATGGTCATTTTCAGTTTGTGTGGAAAATTTCCAGCCCAGATTCCCATCTAATGTGTTACCAACTGTAGAATTTAATCGACGCCAACTCTATTTTTTTTTGATCGTACGGTATAGGAAACGGGGGAAAACTATTTTTTTATTAAAATTGCAGGGGCCCAACGTGCGTGATGGCGACGGAGCCAAATGGCTCGCAAGAACAGAATACCACAATTCAGCCCTCTCTTTATCCAACACTTAATCCTGTGCAAAGAAGAGAACTGGAAAAAGACTTTTATGAGACGTATGACGTTATGACCGGTGTTCGTATTGCTGCAACATTAGGTGGTTTCTTTGGTTTGATGGTGATTCTTGTTTTATACAAATCTAAGTCAAAGACTGAAAGAGCTTTGGAAGATCCTGATTTCACAGCGGCGGCAGTTGCCGAAGTGGAAGAAGAAGAAAGACAGCTTGCTGCTGTGTTAGAAGCCACTGCTTATCAACAACTAAATTCGAGAAAAGGACGAAGGTCGTTGGATACAAGTAGCATCCCTCCAGGCTGGATTAAAAGCACAGCGAGGTTTTCATCTGTTGGAGGATACAGCAGTTTAATGGAGCCTCCCACAAGAACTCATTCGCGACTGCCCTGTTTTATTGATGAAGATTCTCCTCCCGAAGAGGATCAGTCGCTGTACGACGACGTCTGCTACAATGGGTAAAAACCATTTTTCTACATTATTCTAAAAAATTAAAGAAACAAAAAAATTTCCTAATTTTTTTGGTGACTTTTCATCTAAAAATTGTATCTAGATTTAAAAAAAACCATTTAGAAGCTTCAAGTTTCTAGTTTGAGATCTTTTGGCAAAAATTTTTTCTGTGCTACGGTTACCACGCAATCCTAAGTAATTTCGTAAGAAAAAAATTCAAAATGTTCTTGTTTTTGGTCCAGGGACGTCGCGAATTTGGTCAAATTAACACAATTACACTCAATTAACAAACTTAATAAGTGACTAATTACAAAGAAATAAATATTAATGACCATAAAAGTTGCTATTAAAGTCACTACTCCAAAAAATAAAAAATGATGTTTTCTGAAAGGCTGTAATTCATCTAAAAATTGTGGTATCTAGATTTTAAAAAAACCATTTGGAAGCTTTAAGTTTCTAGTTTTAAGATCTTTGGCTACAATTTTTTCTGTGCCACGGTTCCCACGCAGTCCTAAGTAATATCGTGAGAAAAAAATTCAAATTTTCTTTTTTTTTTTTAGTTAAGTCAATGCATAGGCCGGATAGCAGGTTTATTCACCTTTAATACGCTTTTTTCTTTAAATGAAAAAGGATCCTTTTGTCTTTGATCATTGATACCTCAGCAACTAATGACCAAAGAGAGAATATAAGAATAGTGTTAAAAACTGGGATAAATGTCTTACAAGATCCTTTTATAATTTTTTGAAAAATATCTTTTTTCACCTTCAACATGGATTTAAAGAAAAGAGAAAAAAGTAACTTTTTGCGTTGTTTTAGTAAATCTACCGCGTATTCACTAAAATTGAAAGGGAGACTAATGTTTTTAGGTGTTTTTACAGCTCAATGTATTCACTGCTAATTGCACATAATGCTAATAAACTAATAAACGATAATTGCACATATTGTTTCTGAATATTGTCTAATCTTCATCAAAATGAAAAAAACAATTTCTTTTCGACTTTTTTTAGTTATTTACTAAAAATAAAAATAAATTAAAAGGTTTTTGAAAATTCTTAAAAACATTCAAGAAACAATACTGCTTGATTTGTAAAAAGAAATTAAAAAAAAATTTAGATTTTTTAAAATTTGTAAGAAAAATTCAAGAAACCATACTGATTAATTTTTGAAAAAAAATCATAGCTATTAACATACCTAGGATGTAATGAAAGTCATTACAGCTAAGGCTGTTATGACATTATTACATCCGAAGTTTGTTCAAGATTTTATCGGTTTCTGTCGAATAAGCCAAAAATTGGAACAAATTAAATCCAAAAATTCTAGGATATAATGACAGCTGCAGATGTCAGTTTGAAATCCGGGCGAGTTTACAATTTTACAATATCGATATGTTAGTAAAAATGACATTTCAATATTGTAAAATTTTACAGCAATCAATAAGGTTATGCCATAGTTACCAGACTATTTTTGTGCATGTCAACATTGTCAACAAAAACCGATAAGAAATATTTTTTGAATTTTTTTTTATTGTTTTTGGGATTTTTTTAATCTAAGTAATGCAAAATTGTAAAAAAGCTGAGGTGTCGATGATCAAAGACAAAAGGATCCTTTTTCATTTAAAATCAGATATTTTAGCGACAAATTGGCGTAAAAAGAATATGAAAAAAGCGTATTAAAGGCGAAAGAACATGCTATTCGGCCTTGCATTGACTTAACTAAAAAAAAAAATTCCGACGTCCGTGAACTAAAAACAAAAACAAGAAAATTTAGAATTTCTTTTTTCACGATAATACTTAGGATTGCGTGGTAACCGTCTCACGGAAAAAAAATTACCAAAAGATTTCAAAACTAGAAAGTTAAAGTTTCAAAACAGTTTTTTTTTTAATCTAAATACGACCATTTTTAGATGAAAAAATCACCAAAAAATTTAGGAAAAATTTTTGTTCCTTTAATTTTTTGGTGTAGTGTATTTTGCGACTGAAAGAAAACTTATTTCGATACCAAAACCGATGTTTTAACACTAATCGGGTGCTGAAATAGTCTAGTACAATTTACTTTCTAGAGGTTGGTAATGTGATTTTCAGCGTGTTGAGCGGTTTTTTTTTCTTTTTTTACCTGGTGTGCATGAAATATTTGCAGTATTCATTCTTATTTCAACAAAATTTTGAAAAATACTTGAGACTTCAAAAATCGAACGTTCAAACTTTGTGACATTTATTACCAACTACAACCTCATTGTAGCAAAAATTCCTAAATTTTATGTTAAAAAAGTACGCAAAATAGAAAAAAATTGTTTCATAAGTTATTTGTGGCAACTCGTTCTTGATAAAACTATCGCTATTTTATCTATTTTAATCTCTTTTTGACAAAATTAGACAAATATTATTTTTTTATATAAAAATGGTATAAATATCCATTTACTACGATATTAATAGTAAATTTATCTTCCTCACCAACATGTCCTTGTTTCTAAATAGCACCGTTTCCTTTGTTTCATTTGTACTACAAAGTATGAATACCTACCTAGCAGAGAGTTGCAAAGAATGTTGATCAATACGCTAGGCGTAAGGTTAGACGTGAATCCTTACCCCAAATAAAAAAGGAAGTCAATACTTGCGTTGATTTATAACGTTTTGTAACATGTAACTGTTATTAATCTGTTGAAATTTCATTGATTTTCGGATTAAGTCTTGGAGATTATCATCCGAAACTGCAAATCTTACGTCAACTAAAATAATGAGACGTGCTTTCTATAGGAAATAATAATGACACTGGATGTTGTAACAAAAGTTTAATGAAACTGTTTTCTGAATTAAAATGTTTTCTTACACTCTGTCAATTGTCTAAATCTTAATCTCAAAATTTCTAGTTTTTCACTCCTTAATAATCTTTTTAAAATTAATCAATGTATAAAGGAGTTATGAATAGGTATATTTTAAGCTTAAATTCTTGAAAATTTAACATTTAATTTAAAGCAACTTGCTTGATGTTAAATCATAACTAAAACATGTGGCTTTGACGGCGATTTAATATATCGAAACTTAGTATTTAATGATTTAATGGCACACACAGCCCTGAAGAAGGGGAGAATATCTCTCGAAATGTCACCTTGATGTTATTTATTGAATCCACAATTCAATTTAAATACGACTATAACTAAAAATTATTACGAATTTTGCAGTTTTCTTGACACCAATCGATTCCCTGGAACATTTTACATAGGTTTACATCAAAATATTATATCATTGGGGTACAGTTTTTATACTTTATTACTTACCTTTTTTTTACTTATATCTCACTAATACAAATCATTTGTGTTATTAGTAGTAATAACAATATCTCAAAAACTAAGCATCGTAGAGTATTTTAACTTGTTGCATCGTGTTCAGCGCGTAATTTTACGTCTAGAAAACTGTATTTCAAGCAATTTTACGACTTAAGATAAATTGACTATTTTTACGATTTTACTACCGCTCACCTTCAAAAACTCAAAAAATTCGTAATTTTTTAAACTTGACCCATTAACGTTTTATGCATTTTTTGAGTTTTTAAGACCTCTAGAAATGTAAAAAACATTAAATAGATCAATTTTAAAGTTAATTTTTGTCGAGATTGTGGTCGAGTCGATTTTTGACACCCATTGTCTTGACTGTGCATTTTTTATTTTTACTGATCCAAAATACTTGTCGTAATATACCGTGCATTTAATTTGTCCCCATTAATAAATAATATCGAATAAGTAATATTCTTTTTACCTTAAAATGACGCAGATTTTTCATTTGAAATGTGAATTTAAAAAATTACAGAAAACTGGACGTTCCCCGAAGACCCAGCAATATAACATGCTCCTCTTCAGGCAGTTCGTATTTGGAGCGTCGTGATTCCGCCGTCGCAATCGGCCTTCCAGTGTTGCCGGGGCACAAGTCGAAGAATCGCCGCCGCCAATCATCACCTCTTCTCGAAATTTACGACTTTTATTATCCAATCGACATCAAAGTTATCCAACCAACGCCCGGGGGATCCCCGTGTGGGAGTGATCGAGCTTTGTACGATCACGTAACAGATCCGCCAAATTTAATCCCACGTCTTGCACCATTAGCGTCTATAAGTAGTTGTAATAGTTCTTTTGGTGCTGATTACACAGACTTGGATGTCGTGTCTTATACATGTGATTCCGTTTTTCAAGAAGAAAGAGATAGTACTGATGATGAAGTTGACCAGTTTTCGACCGATAGCGATTTAACTGATGCGGGGGCTTGTTATAATCGACGAAAAAAGAAAAATTGTATTTGTGATTCTTCGGGGGCTACGCCAGTTAACGAAGGACCGTCTTGTGTTTCGCCAAAAATTAGCATTAAGTCTTCGTCTAAGTCTTCGGTGACGGTGATCGAAACTGTTGAACAGCCCGAAAGCATCCAAAAATCATCGACATCGTCTTCAATCAATGTTGAAGAACCAAGAGCACAAGAGACTCTCTTTTAGATTTTGGTTTTTTATATACAAATGTTGCGAATCAGAAATTGACACAAGGACTAAATATCAGTCATAAGTGCTAGGGCACTAGGTGACACTCAATGTTGTTATCAATAATATCTCTATTGTGTTAACAGGAGTAGCAAACTAGACTAATAGTACGGAAAAGTGTAAACAGTTTCAGGAAGTTTTTTTTAGAAAAAATTGTTTGATTTTTTCCATTGTTAAAAAGAATTTTTTTAAGCGTGAATAAGATTAATGTATCGCAAGAAGAAGTACTATTTTTACACACTGTAACATAAAACTAGAAACTACTTTTTATGTTTATTCAGTAGTTAAATACATAAAATCAACAAAACTGTTAGAAATGTCTTACAATGTGTATTTAGCGTATTTTCCGTTATTTTTACGTTACAAATAAAATCGATTAAATTTAATTTGTAAACTAAATGTGATTAAATAAAAAGTTAAGAGATGGATTTGACAACGATTCGAACCTTCCCATAACAACTTAAGTGGAGAAATTAATCAATAAAAAAACTATAAACTTTTTTATAATGGCTTGTGATGAAACAGGGTGAGTGTTAATTGTGTTTTACGGTTGTCATTTTTTTTTCATTTACAGGAATTCCGGTGAAAGGACAATTTTCTTTGAATTAGTTACATTTTCCACAAATGAATAAATAGGATTTAGTATTTTAAATAAAATCAACGAATTTATTTCTACACAAAAATATGTATTTTTATATTTAATTTTTTTCTAATAACTCATTCTGAAACCTGGTGGAACCCAACTTCTCCGAATTTATAATCACATTTAAATCGTGTGATCGCAATTAATGTATGTGAAACATATCGTATAAGTCGTAGATTGTTTCTGGGAGGTAAACGAAGACGGTGTTTGTGTTTGAAAAAAACTGAGGTGTATTCTTGATTGCTAAATGTCAGGGTCTCGATGTGTCAAACATAGTTTTTATACATAGTTAGAAAAATTGTATTATCTTAAAAAATGTTACGTTGTTAAAAAATTTGTACTAATAATATTTCGACGGAAAAACATTACTTTTGAAAATGTACCTAGAGTAATAGTATAATATGATTAATATGTCATAATGAGCTGTATGATTTCCTCTATGTTGAGGCAACTGTCCCAACAGGAATCATGTTAAAAGAATATGGAATGAATTCTCTGTAATGGGAAATCTTACAACCCGATTTATTTGGAGTTAGAATATTAAAGAAATTTTATATTTTTACATAAAATATACTTTTTATAGGCTTTTATGTTAGTAAAATGCTTTTCAGAGATTAATTGTATATGTTGTTCTGTTTATATAGTGGTAAAAAATAAATGTAATGTTTATTGAAGACCTTTTTATTTAGCTCATGTTTACCGATTAAAAATAATAAATGGTAAATATATAAAATTTTATTTAAAAGAGATAAATACATAATTGGTTATTACTTATAATATAAATGTATTTAAACGTTGTTTTTTGTTTTATTTAGATTATGCGGTAGAGAGCATGAAATAAAAAATGGCAACACTGTGTGCCAACAACGTAAAAACAAAAAATTAGTCGCATCATCTAAATAAACAGCTCATAACGGTGGGTTATTGTTGCCAACATGAATAAAACTTTTTGTTCCAAAAGCAATAATTATTTTGTAGTTAAATTATAAGCAAAAAATGAAAGAGATAAAAATTTGGCAAATCTCAATAATTAATTAGGAACTATGCTATGCACCTAGAGAGTTGTATTTGATATCTAAAGCAAAGATTCGCTTGCCATAAAAATGTTAAACATTTGGTTTAGTCAAAACTAACACGTGTTGAACAAATAAAATGAAATGTATCAAAACATTTTTGATAATTGCTTTTTAATAATGTTCAGCGTATTGGGAGTGCCTGATGCCAAAACTGTGTGCGGGCTGATAATCAAGATCCACCTGAAAGTAAAGCACAAAATATAAAAAAAGTGCTTCTAGGTCAAACGAAAGTTTTTTAGTAATCACCTGTTAGTAGATGCAGTGAATAAAAAATATGTTAGAAAAGCAGTGACGTTTTTTCCCGTTTTAGAAACATATATTGTGACCCCAAATATGGAGAATGCTTAATACCGAAGGAATGACGTGGTGGATTTAATAGATGAGACGTAACCTATTAGTTTAATGTTATTTCACTTAAGTTTACGTGAATTATTTATACCTTTTCCGGGGAATATACTCCGGGTCCTGGAGTTGAAGAATCAACTGGAATATTTGTTCTTCCACTTATGGTGTATGCTGGCGAATGAGTTTTGTAGCTTTCTGGGTTGACGTTATTATATTGGCCCGGACCTGGATTTTTTACGCGTTCATCAACTAGTTCCTTGTTTCTTCCAGAAATAGTGTAAGCCGGTGCTGATTTCTTGTCACCAACAACTGGCGGAATGTTGTATACATTGGGTGCTAATAAAAAAAACATCAAAAAACTAATTTTAATAATAACTAGACAAAATAACAATAACAAAAGCAGGAAAAGTTTGAAAATATTAGTACTGCGTTTTACCGAAAAACCGGTTTGTTTAATTAATCAACCTTAGCACCAAACAGTACATTTACAGTGTTATTTGAATATAAATAATAACCAACCAGGAGTTTCCAAAGGTTTTTCCGCTTGAACCTTATTTCCAAAACTGTATTTAGGTGAATTATCGTGTAGGATCTTTTCGGAAGTCGGCACGTTGTAAACATTTGGAGCTAAGGTGCAAAAAATAAATTGATAAAACCTAATTATGTAAAGTCGAGAGAAAAAGTATTCAGAATACAATCTTCCCCGATTGCGATGTGATTTTTCGAAAAATAATAGCCCTAAACTGTTCAAACACACAAAATAAAATAAACGGACTTTTTTCAGTTTTTGACCATTATTTTTGAGTAATGTACAAAGTGAATCAATGTTATTTCAAGGTGCAGAAATGAATAATTTTTTAGTAGGTTTTAGTTTAGTAGAACAGGATGGTAAAGTTTCGAATCTCCAAGAAGCGTGTTGAACTAACCAGGGGTATCCGATGGCTTTTCCAATTGAACTTTGCTACCAAAACTGTATCTAGGGGAATTTTCGTGCAACACTTTATCGGCATTTGGGACATTGTATACATTGGGAGCTAAAGAACACAAAATGAGTACATTTCTAATTCGAAAAATATAAACAAAATACACTACTCCAAAAAATTAAACAAACTAAAATTTTTGGTGATTTTTGAAAGGTCGTAATTTATCTAAAAATTGTCGTATCCAGATTAAAAAAAAATATCTGTGCCACGGTTACCACACAGTCCTAAGTATTACCTATCGTGACAAAAAAAATCTAAATTTTCTTGTTTTTGTTTCATTTTTTCATATTCGCTTTACGTCAATTTGTCGCTGAGATATCTGACTATTAATGAAAAAAGATCTTTTTGTCTTTAATCACCGATATAGGTAGGGTAGTGTCAAAAACTGGAAAACGTCTTATCCTTTTATGATTTTTTGGAAAAAAAAAATTTTTCACCTTCAACATTAAAGAAAAAAGAAAAAAGGAACTTTTTGCATTGTTTTAGTAAATCTACAGAATATTCACTAATGTTGATGGGAAGACTAATGTTTTTAGGTGTTTTTACAGTTTAATGTACCCCTCATAGTCTCGTAAATTTTTAAATCGAT